AAAATCAAAAGGTCTTCGATGATTTATTATCGACAAAGAATTTTAAATCTGTTAATAAAAACGAGAAATTAATGGTTATAGTTACGAGAGCGAGCCATTTATGAATCTTTCTTTCTAGTCTATTTCTAAAACAATTTCCAATTTAACTTCTATCCTCAATACAAACAATTTAAACAAACCACTGAAACCAATTTTTCTCCTTTCGCAAATGGAAAAGGCCACAAAAGGCAAAGCACAATTGAAAAAAAAAAAGAGAGATCCCTTTCCGCTCGATTCTTTTCTCCAATCCCTATGAAATACTATTTTCTAAAAACGAATCGCTTCAGGGACTTTGTACTCACGTTACGCAATTTACTTAGACGCAATGGATGGAGCAACAGTCGTGATGGATCGTGTTCTCAATGAAAAGACATTTTATCTCTGGATTAATAAACCGAGTTACGATTAATAGAATCATGATCGAATGTTGATTTGCGAGTATGAAACAAAACGATATGTTAAATATGATATGAGAGAGAGAGAGAAAGAGAGAGAGAGAGAGTTGTAGATTTGTGAATATCATTAATTATTTCGAATCAATTATTATTTTTATATGCACACGAAATATTATCATGTGAATATAATTAAATGATCTATTGAAAAATCGATTTCAATTAATCAAAATCAATCCGACTGTATTTATACGAGATATATAATTATTTTTCCGTTTTAACAAAATAAAAAATAAACTTGTATATTTTTAATAATTGCAAGAATAAGAAACTACTAACATTGCTGCTATAATTGTGCAAGAGAATTAATAATTGATATTAAAATTTTGTGAATTATCTATCTAGTGAAATTAATAATAATCTCAATGATAATTCTCTTCTGTAACAAAAGTAACATCATTAGCTATCATATTAATAAATTCTCTCGCACAATGAGTTTAATAAAGAAATTATTTTAACAAATTGTAATGTTAATAATCGAGATTGAATTATTCTTAAACGCTCTTTCTTTCAAAAAGTAGGAAATTTCTGATCACTAAATCTCTGATACAATTTTTTTTTATATTATTAAATTTCTACGCGCGAGAACCTTTAAACATCAAAATAACAATTCGAATAATCAAAGCAACATACGTTTTAATTCGCGTACGATCGAAACGAAATTCTCAAAAAGTGGCAATCAAGCAACAACAAGTTAATGACAGACGCGATATAATTTACGCGCCACGATTTCAACGAGTTAACTGGATAAATGCGGAGCTACGAAATTCGACATTAAAGCACGGCTGCCCTTTTGAAATGAAAATTTCACGAAAATTTATAGCGGCTGACCCGATCGATCGTGTCGATTGGAACGAATGAGAGAGAAAAAGAGAAAGAGAGAGAGAGAGAGAAAGAGAGAGAGAGAGAGAGAGAGAGAGAGAGAGAGAGGAAAAAGGAAGGCAAAGAAAAATAGGGAGTTTTCAAACGTTCCATAGAACGCATACACCTGCGTGCTTTCTCTTCAACTCGTCGAGTTAACATGCTATTGACCCGCTAAACCAATTTCCGGGGCGCAATTGCGGAAGATTTTTATTACAGGGGACATAATCGTTGAACGAATTTGATCGTCCCCACTTTCCACCACTTGTACCTGCATGCACTCGTGACGCAAAAGATGAAACGGACAGAGGGTTTCGAGAGATTAAAAAATTGAGTCTTCGTTCGCCATTCATCCTACGCTTTTGATGTAGTAATTAATCTTAATACACGATTGAAATTCAATGAAACATGGGATTATGTAAGATTAATAAGTTGTAGCGAGCGTATGAAATTGGGTGAGAAGTTGTGGTTGGATTAAATATATAGCAAAAGATAATTTTTTGGGGAGAGAAGGTGGGGTTGAAAATTTAAAGACAGGATTAGAAATGTAAATGAATCGATGAAATTTGAAATAATCGATGAGAGTTTCAAAATATGCTTAGAGAAGTGAATTACACGTTATAATTGGGAATTGTAATATATTAAATTTATTGTATTCGATATTTTATTAATCGAAGAATAATTTTAATATCGTAATACAAAATTTATTGATAAGAATATGAGATATTTCAGAGATGAATTATATCTGTAATTAAAAGTGACAAATTTATAATAACTTTATTCATTTTTCATTCTTTATCAATATTGAATTAAAATATTATTTTAATATTGTCGATATTTAAAAAGAATTCTGCCTTTAATAAGATTTATTAACAAAAGATTCAAGATAAATATTAGTAAGTCATCGTTCACCCCTCGCACAATAACTAAAACGTATTAATCACATCTCCTTCCAAAACTTTCTCTTAAAAAAAAAACACAACTCGCAGCATACTGAACTCAACCTTGAAATCGATCGAATTTCTATATAACAAATTTCCATCGAATTCAAGTCGAAACGTGACTTTTCTCGTGTGAAGGGAGATATTCTCGATTGAAAAAAGAATCCCTCTTCTCAAGCTTACGCAAAAATTGTTCGACTCTGCTCGAGTCCCTCTATCATGAATTCGAAAACGAACGCAAGCTCTAAAAACGGAAAAAAATGCAAAGAATTTTAGAATTATATTATTATAGAAGATTCGTCTTGCAATGACCGCAAAAGAGAGTTTTTCTACCACCGTTGATTCACCCCACGACCACGATATTCTCGTACTTCAAAGAACGTCGAACCTCTCTCTTCCCCCCCAAGCAAGCGTTCCGTTGTCGGAATTTTAAGTCGTTGGAAATAATCCCAAGTTTTCCTCTCCCTTCTCCGCGAGCATCACCGGCGAATTTCTCGTTTTGTCTCCGCGCAATGTTACGAGCAGCGAGTATTAAGCGGTCCTCTCTCGATCGTGTTTAAAATCGTGGAATTTAAAAAGCGACTCGATTATTCCTCGATCGAACGAATTCTTTTTTTCACCCC